ATTGCATGAGTCTGGTAAATCTTCAACAATCAGATCACTACAACTACAGTGCGTACCAAAAGTATGTGGACACCCTAGAATCGATTCTCAGGAGTCAGCTAAAGGCTTTTTGTGTTATGAAACCTTCACCATTCAACTCCTAGTGGTCGATAACCTACAATGACATTTTCGGCAAAAGATTTCGTTCTAACTTAGCGAACTATTTTTCATGGAAAGTTTTTTCTTTGTATCAAAATTATGTGGACACTTTTTGAAAAACGGCAATATCTTCAGAATCTGTAGTAAGTAGGCCTACCAAAGTTTCTAGTAAGTTGAGCCATTCTGTTTGGCATGCTATGAATGGGGTCTGGATACATGTCTTGCAGATCTGTTCCCAACTAGCAAATTTCACCGACGTGTTAGGTCACTTGTGATATTACTCTTTTGTTCAATGACGTAGAGACCGCGAACCACGATACCTCTACGTTTTCAATAAGGATGAAGTCTGAGGAATACGCTAGCCGACTTGCCAATCAAAGCCGTTGCGTTTAGCATTTTTCCAAATGGAATGGTGTCAGGGACCTCCCCTGCAAAACAAGTGATTTGCAACCATGACTTTTCGAAAAAGGTTGTAGCCGGGACTCAAGCACCTCATTATAATCCTAGTCGTCTACCTGACATGTTGGCAAGCCAAACTTCAATGTCCCCCTCCTTTTGGAACCACCCCAGACCTTTGATGAACATCTTCCGAATTGTCTCTTCGAGCACATCTGCGGGTCCGACCAAAGTCTCTCCAAAAACCTCAAGACCCACCCGAATAGTGAAGGAATAAGCTTCTTTCTGCCAGTCGAGTTGGTCTATGAGAGAAATTTCCACAGAAAGTCTTTTATACTAATTTTACCATTTCCACGAAAGCACTGTCTGTGTGGGTTCAAAGTATCATGTTGTGATCCTTTTTTGAGTGGGAATTCCAACCTTGCCAACCTGAACCCGCATTCATATACAAAGCCTTCTTCATCTTCTTTCGTGTCGTGTGCTCAATTGATTGAATGAGACACCGATTGGTCTTTTTTAAGATCGGGAAGATCATTTATGCGTAAAGTTGAGTAGTACGAAAAGAATAATTTGAGAAAATTAAGGCTATTCTTCTCCTGTTTTGAACAAGTAGCGATTGAGAACAACCCTCAGTCAAGGTCGAGAGCTTAGCATCAGGATTTCGGATTTCTCTCCAAACCTACGAGGACGCATGACTGGTTGACGTGCTATTTCGCAATAGGAAGGTTCAGAAGCATGGGATCCCATTTCTGTGCTCGGTCTTCTTCAGAAAAACGCTTGCCGTGAAGAGGAATGATGCCAGAATAAGTAACGAAAGGAGAAGTAAAAATAGGTTAGGAAATCGATGCAAAAACTTCATCTGCCTCAGGGTGTCCACATAATTTTGATACAAAGAAAAAACTTTCCATGAAAAATAGTTCGCTAAGTTAGAACGAAATCTTTTGCCGAAAATGTCATTGTAGGTTATCGACCACTAGGAGTTGAATGGTGAAGGTTTCATAACACAAAAAGCCTTTAGCTGACTCCTGAGAATCGATTCTAGGGTGTCCACATACTTTTGGTACGCACTGTATAACTTACCTTCTTGAGCATCAATACTATCGGCTGCTCCATAGATTTGAGCTCCTTTCCGTCATCCCTTCAGTGGAGCACTAAACCAATGCCTGTGACTTCATTACAAGATTTCCCGACCTTAGATAGTGCTAAACTGCCTTTGAACGTTTTTGTCGTTTAGGAATCTTACATGGATCGCTTCCTCTCCATATTTTCAAAACCGCCCGAGCCGCCAACTACAACACCTTCTCTGCAGATACGGATGATGCTCCTCTATACGCTCCACTCACCCAGACTTGGTCGTAGAATTATGGACAAGTATTTCAACAACTTCAGTGAGTTCGTTGTTCTGATTTCACTTCATTTCCAATGCATCTTCAATGATCTCAAGTAAAGGGCGGAGTCCTTGTGGTGTGGTGTTCCCTTTTGGGATGCGACACGACAAAAGACTAAAGTCCAGCTTTGTACTGGCACTGTAACGCGTTTTCAAGCCAACTGCCATACTCGTCCGTGTTCCTACATAACCTCTTAGCCAAGTTTCTTACCACGTAATCGAGTTTGGAAAGAAAGACTGAATAGTTAGGGCTTCACGGATATCGGCTCAAATTGTTTGTGTAAGTTCTCTACCCTGTTTCAAAGGACTTCGAGAGAAACCTGTTACTGATCTGAGGGATCACCTAACTTTTATCACGTGCCGTACCGATATTCGTCGAGTTCTCAGACGGGCCCAATAACGTCCCACTCACGCCTGTCACATGCCAGAATGCTACAATGATTCCTCGCCGCTCAAAGGACACCCACGCTCTGAACATTCCTTCCCTCCAAGAGCTTTCGCGAAGAAGTCCGACCAACGGGCAGGGGTTGCACATGTGTTCGCCTAAAAACCAAAAAAAAAGAAAAAAAGAACGGGGAACTGAAGGAAGAATAAAGAAGTGAGATAGCCCAAAGTGAGCGGATTGGGAGTAGAATGAGTTTTATAGCCTGGAAGTGAGCGGATGGGAGTAAAATGAGTTGTGATTAGAAATCAGGCTCTTTTTTCCAGATTTCACACCTATCGCAAAGTTCTTATTGATTTTTTGGTACCGCTTACGCGCTCCTTCCGCTGGATCAGCAGACGCGTCGCAACCGCTCCGCGCATGTGTCACGCTACCCCCATTGAGTGCCAGTTAATGACTAGCTGTTACAAATATTATTTTAGGATCACAGTGGAACTTCTTGGATCGTTTCCAGTGCAACTGTAATGGTGATCTGGTCGACATTCCAAAGGCAAAAAGCTTCATCACCATGAGAGTGATCTACGATTGAATATTGCCTTTTCTCCTTGATCATTAATCATGTAGCCACCCATTTCTTCACTTCACTTTTTTATTTATTATTATAAATATTTCGTTTTTGGTGTAATGTGCTTTTTCATGCATGCTTGGATGTAACTGCAATGCAACCGCACCGCGACCGCACGCGTCACATGTCGGCGCTTTCGGTGCTTACTCAAACAACATCTTGACATGTAAACCGTGTCAGCGGTGTGCTTACAAATAATACTTTACTAACGACTAGCTGCAATTCGGTATTTACACAATGCCCGTCAAATCAATAAATCAATAAGTTGCATGAAGACAGTAAACGATCGATCCATATTAATTACAAATTCACGACGACAAGGACGACGGAAATCAAATCACCCGGAATATATCAGTAAAGAGTCGGTCAATAGGGGAGATCCCAGATGCTGTTAACAGATAAGCTCGGAAACGACGTATAGCTCGGATGGTGCTAAAGATAATTAGATTGTTAACACTAATGAACTAAAAATCAATAATCACAATCAATAATCAATACGAAATAATACATATTAGTACATAGTACTCGTCGACGTGTACTACAAAAAAAGTCGAGTGGTAGAGCAGTTGATCGATTCAATCAATACAATCGATATCGATCTGCGTCCACATCAATGACTCAATCTGGGTGTCAGCAGTGTTTTTACTAAGCGCTCCAAGCCGTTTCATGTTCACGAATTTTATCGATTTGTTGGTGACGTAGATGCAAAGCATAAGAAGACAGGCGTAGAGCAGTATCGGCAGAACGACGTAGAGTAGCGGACTGGAAAACAGCCAAAAGATCCGGATGATTCGCTTGAAAGTTCTGAATCAACAGCATGTATGTCGTTAGGTCCGCGTAGCTGCCGAGAGATATCTGAAAGAGATCACGGTACGAAGCACTACAGTAGGTAAAGAAGAACGAGGCTGATAAAATTACTATTCAAGGTAAAATAGGGAAATAAATAGGCTTTGAGAGTCAGTACAACACCGTGAAATTGCTGCATAATGTTATGTTTTTAACAATTCTCCATTCTCTCATCACTCAAATCCCGACTTGCACGCTAACCCCGCCCACATTGTTTTATACATACATTCTACAATTTCGGAGCATATTTAAAACATACAAACAGAAGTGAAAGATGATGACCATCTCCTTTCTATTATGCGCCCAGAAGTCAGCCTCTATTTACTTTTGCAAGAGGTGTTTGAGATGGGTTAGTCGCCTGTGCAATGACCTGCGTAAACCAACTTGTGCTTGTATGCGAGCGTTTTTACTGTACAGATCGTGCTTGGAAAGAGCTCCTTGCCTCCGAGGATCCACACGCGATTTGAATCTATTGGATAGCACCATGAACGGCATGAAGCGCTGCGCGTTCCTGACGGAGCACGAAGCCCACTTGGGTGGTTTCTGCGGGCATGGGCACTGGTCAACCAGCGTGTGAGTCCAGACAGAGACACGCTTACGTTGTCATTTTTGTGACTGAGCCTTCTGAACGAAGGAAAAAGCAGAGACGCTGTAATAGTATGCGTCATGTGAGAGTGCGCCGAGACACCTACAAATGTTGATTCACTAGGCCTACCGGTTGACCGCTGCCCTTGGACGAGTTTTGCGTACTGAAGGGACGAACTGAGAAAATGGCGCCTGCTTGAACAACCCGCGCCAAATACCGGGAGATAGAAATCGTTACCCACAGATATCCCAACCGAAATGCGCCTAGCTTATCTCCCATCAGCTCGTGGGTTCTTTAGCGCGAGGTATGGCTTCTCCAAACATGGATTAAATATATGTTTGCAGCGCACTCTCAGCGCGCCTCTGCGGATTTTTGCTTTCCTCTACATGGACATTGACCAATAATGGCCACACTGTTAAGCAGTTCGACCAGTCGAACCCCAACGATGTAATTTCATGGAGTTATGAGGAAAAAAATAAAGTTGCGAATGAGCTGAATTTACCTGTGAAAGCATGAATGGCACAAGAAGTGGCGCATTGTTCGTATAGTTACCGGCCAACGCCAGAAAACATGGCACGAGTTGAATAACCCGGCAAGCTGTCAGAATGATGAAACGCGGCTCGCGATACCATTCTGGATCAGCTGTGGCCAGAATCAGACCTGAAACATGAACAGCTGAGTTCGAGTCTCATTCTCAAAAAAAAGGTCTCGTTAAAAAAGGGCTGGGCTAACTGGAAAATAGTGGTATTTTATAGGATTTACAAAAGAAAAAGAATAAATAAATAAATAAATAAAGGTGTAAATAGTGTGCAAAAATAACAAGGGAGTCCTAATAAATAAAGTGATATCATTAAACACGTCACTAACCAACGCTGATCTCCTGTATCAATGCAATGATGATCATGTTCGAGAGATACTTGGCCGAGACACCGCCACGACAGAAGCGATATTCAGCAGTAGAATCCGACTGAAATGAATTGTTTGGACGTGGCATAATTTAAAGGATAAAGGATAAAGCATTTGCCGTTGATCAATCCCTTTTTGGGATGCGGCACGCATTCTACTTCCATTTGTACATTCGTAGTGGCGTTTGAATGCGATGTGGCCTATACAATGACTTGCGGGGGCCAGCCGATGTACAAGTCAGTGTTTTTATCCTCCCAGACAAGTCTGGTACCAATTAACCGACCCCGGAGGGATGGAAGGCTTGGTTGGCCCGGGCGACTCACGACCCAGGATTTGATCCCCGGACCGCTCGCGTGGTGAGCGCGCCACTTGTCACTACACCACTTCCGCCCTGTGGCATTAATAAAGGTCCATTAAATTAGTGAATTCAGTCGTATGTAAATTTGGCATATCAAATATCCGAATATTACGGTAGCCACGACAATGACGCGTTCACTCAACCATTTGGCGAGCGCCTAGGCCGTAACTTCCCCACTCTCTAATTGAATTCGAACCTTCAGACCGCGCAAAGATGCTACCCTAGTCTATGTTGGCCCAAACAGCGGTTCATGATGCTAGTGCCCTCGCGCGTTCCGTCTTTTCACCCAATAAGATAGGCATACTAATCATACACACACACACACACTACGCCTGGTCCCTTCGCTGCCAACTGGCTCGACCCTAACCGTCTGGTACGGTGGAAATCGCGAGGAACCGCGTCTCCTCCAACCGTTCTCAAACTCTACTCTCGTAAAACCGAGAGCATGAGAGGAAGGTTGAATAAGTGCGGCGGTCCTCTTCCACGTTCTCTTTGAGACTGCTCACTTGTATTGGAGGCTGGCATTACATGCGCATACTTCCTATTTGTATTGATCTTTTTGATCACCTTGAACGAATTCTTCATCGAAGTTCCAAGGAATATGAACGTCTGCGACTTTTTTTTTTCAAACAAGCATATCTCAGGTACGCTTTTAGGTTTTTTCAGTTTTATCGAAACAAATCCTGGAATCAATAAATTGTTCAAAATTCGCTTTTGAACAAATCTAATTTGATGGCCTAAGAGTTTTATTGTTTTGAGGACAAAAGGTCTCTCACTAATGAGAGGCTGTCTGTGACCAGTTCATATCGCTAAAGTACGTCATTTTCGCAATGGACAGGGCCAGGGCGGGAGGCGAAGCGCAAAATGCGTCTGCACCTCACCCGAGAATTTCCTCCTTCTGCAAAATTGGACCGACAGCACGTGTCGCATCACTTGTTTCCCTCCCTCTCCTTACTAAATGAGACCTTAAAGGAGGAATTCACGATTAGATGAAGGTCGAAGAAAGGGAAACTGACCTAGTTGAGGGACCCACGCGGACCTCCTGAGGGTGCGAACTGACGCGCATGGAAAAATTTGACCTCGGCGACCTATCATGCCTCAAAGCTGGCGGGTCCGGCGATCTCCGCCCACCGATCATCTGATCACTCGCCGTAGTTCAATACGTGGCGAGTGATTAGATAGCTGAGAGAGCGTAGTGTTGAAGAGGGCACAGCGATGAGAGTCGCATCAATGCTCGAAATCAACGGGCAAGGAAGGGGTCCCATTTCTCGGGTTCTGGGCCGTTTCTCATGGTTCTTCCTTCTTTCGTGTACCACTCACCATCCCTAGGTTAATTTGAAATGGGTTGCTTTCATCGTGAATTTGTCTTTAAAAACACCAGAGTGTTTGATAACTTACTCTATTGCTGCGCGAAGAGGACTGATCGCTGAGATCTTGAGAAGTAGATGGGTGCATTTTCTCCTCACCGAATATGTCACGATCCTTAAAATAATTGATAATTGAACAATGACAAGAGCTGGGAGACGGAATCAAAACTGAAAAAAAACCTACTTTTGGACGGATATACCAATGAAAACGTTTGGGTTTGTAGGTGGGCGGTATCGGGTCGCACTTCTCCATCAAGCAGAATCGCCTTGAATCCAATGGGAAATCCTGCAAAATTTGAGCTATCTTTTTTTCTTCAGATGGATTCACACCTAATTCCACAAAATACGCAACGCGATACAGAAACGGTGAATGAGAGTTCAAATTATACGGCGGTGAGCCCTTGCTGAGATACGCCACGCATTTCCATTCAGAAACGTAGCAACATTAAATTAGAGAAGT